AAAGAACAGGGTCATAAAGTTTTGCCACCCAAGACTGCCTCTGGTTGCTTCATTAACTTGGTGGCTGTAAAGTCTACTGTTTGTTCTGTTGTCAGTGGAGATCTGTTGGTTGGTTTTACCATGGAGTCTGAGACTCTCTGAGGTGAGGGAGGAACGAGGAGTACTTTGTCTTCCCCCCACCAGCTGGAGTTGTGAGTTCAGTGCCTCCCAGTGCGTGGGATGCACAACTACAGCTCCTTCCAGAGGTCAGTGCTGTGCTTGGAGGGTGCTGCTGCAATCCCGCGGGGAGAGATCTCTGTAGGAGGCTTTTATAGTCCAAGAGCTTTTCTTTTTGAAATATTTGCACTGTAGCTACCCCACCAGCACCTGCCTGCAACTGGCTTCCTATCTTTGCAGTTTGTGGAGAAAGCCAAGGAAGTGTTTTTCAAGCAGTTCTCCCCTTTCCTTTTTTCATCTTATCTTTCCCATTCCCCTGAGGACCCCTGTTTCACTGTTAGCAGTTCAAATACACCTCAGAGGTAATGCAGGCATGGCCAAGGCAATGCCACACTGTGAATAAGCAAGAATGCTGAGCACACTTGGATTACATGGGGGAGGAATGTGTATCTTCCCCACTCCACACACAGTCCCAGAGGCATTTTGGGCAGCCGACAAAAAGGGCTTTCCCCTCCCTTCCTTCCCCTTCAGAGAAACACTGAGCATTTTTATCCCCTTATTTCCATGACACGCACATGCTTTGGAATCCATTAATGTGCATTGTTTGTACGGCTCATTTCTTTAGCTGTCAGCTTAACATAATGTTTGGTTTCAATATCAATAGAGGGGAGAGAGAAGAGACAGGGAGGGAGCTTTGAGAAAACAATGCATGAACCTGTTAAACTGCACAAGGCAGAGCTGCAGTGGGAAGACCGATTTGCAGGGACATTATGTCAGTTTGTATTAGAACGTAAGACTCTGGCTTCAACAGCTTATTAATGTTGATCCCGAGATGTCATAGCTCTGATTTGCACCTGTGGTCTTGTCGGGAGAGGGAAAAGGGCCGTTCTTTAAAAATAGCATCTCTTGTCATTTCCCTTGCAGGTTTTAGTCTCATCCATCTGATTGCCACTGGGGTCTCCTGTTTTTTCGGCTCTAGCCTCTTAACGTTTGTGATTTACGTGTACTGCCAGCGCTGTCAGAGGCAGTCCCAGGAGTCGACTGTTATCCACCCAACCACTCCCAACCATCTCCATTACAAGGGCAACACAACCCCTAAGAACGAGAAGTACACCCCTATGGAGTTCAAGGTAGGGTACTTGATGAGAAATACCACAATCAGCTTGATACTACCTGAACAAATTTTGTACTTATGTCATGGTTTGAATTGGGTAGGTTTGCGATTCTGTGCCCAACTGTTGGCGTTACACGTGGGGTTGAAGGGGTAATTAGCCGTACTGTCACAAAGGGGTTAAAAAGTCCTGTTACTGCAATGGGATTTTGTTCTGTTTCACAGCCCTGATGAATGCCAGTCTGGCAAGTACATACCAAGATACTCCAGCCCATTCCAACTATTGTATGCATACAAATTGTCCTCTAAGAAATCAGTAAGAGCTCAGTTCAGTGCATTGTTAGTGCGTGGTAAGAGGAAACGGAGGGGAGGAAGAATAAAATGGAAACTTCATTAGGTGAATAGCTGGGAGAATGCTTATTGGTAGGATGAGATTCTGGAAATGCTTTGGGAACTGCCAAATTGGAGACAATGGGAAAGCAGTGAGGGTTCTGCTCCCTCCATCACTACTGAACAGAACTTACCCCAGACAGCCATGCAGAATTCAATGATAGCAGCAAAACTGGGAGCTGAAGCCTTAGGGGAAGATCAGTGTTGAAGTGGCATACTCTGTTGGCATGTCAGCTTGCTAAAGAGAACATCAGAGCAGATAGGGTAGTGATAAGACAAGGGGCAACGGCTTTAAACTGAAAGAGGATAGATTTCGATTAGATTTAAGGAAGAAATTTTTTACATTGAGGGTTGTGAGGTACTGGAACAGGTTGCCCAGAGAAGTTGTGGATGCCCCATCCCTGGAAGTGTTCAAGGCCAGGTTGGATGAAGCTTTGAGCAAGCTGGTGTACTGGCAGGTGTCCCTGCCCATGGCAGGGGGGTTGGAAGCGGATGATCTTTGAGGTCCCTTCCAACCCAAACCATTCTGTGATTCTTTGACTAAAAGTGCAACAGACAATACACTGAGATAGTAGCGCATTGTTGTATTTGAGCATCAGTCTCCAGGTGAAGTGTGGGATCAGAGAAGTGAGCAGTGGGATGGATGAACAGGCTTCATGTCACCGCAGGAGAAACAGCCTGCTTAAGGTAACTTGAACAGTGTGGAGCATTATTTGGGACATGAAGACAAAACAGAAGGAAACCCTGCAGCTGCTTTTTCCTTCATATAGCTGTGTGCTGTTGACATTTTGATTGTTTCTGCTGATCTGGCCCAGCTTCTGACTGAGACCTAACAAGATCAACGGTGGGACTGTTGCCGTAGTCTAAACTCCCTGGGTGTTGGGGACTGTTTCTACGTAGTGACTTTATAATGCTGGGCACAGGATGACTCCTGATACATGGCCGTGATTTCTAGTATGAATACACATCAGATCTAAGAGCTTGCATAAAATCATCTGAAAAGGGTCAGTGTTGTTTTGGTGTTTTAAAGGAAAACAGTTTGAGCTGGAAAATAACAGACCAGTTTGGCAATAAGCATATGCTGAATTCCTTGTGTTGGGCATTGCAGCCCCTCAGACGGTCCTCTAAATGCAGTCTCAAAAATACATTTCCTAGCAGCATAAGGCTACAGTTGCATACAGTTTAGTAAGGGTGCAGCATCATAATGCGAGTCAGCATGGATATGTGGAAAGTAAATCATGTCAAGCAAATTGGATTCCTTTTTCAAATTAAATAAATATTGATCTAGATAGAAGGGAAGCAGCACACATATTGGGATTTTCAGAGGCTTTTAACAAAGTTTCACAGGATGTATTCTTCTACTCACTCTGCATATACAGGTTAGGTAATAAATTATTAAGACAGGTAAAGAACTGGGTCCTGATCCTGGAAACTTCAAACTATAAGAGTCATCCTTTCAGTTCTGTGAGTAGTCATGGCAAAGTCAATAGGAAGACCCAGATGAGAAAGGCTTGCAGGAATAAAGAGATGAGCAAGAGTATCCGTTTGCTTCTTACGTAGCAAACAATGAAGAAAAGAGAACAAATTATTTTTTGTGGCCAAAAGTAGGTAGTTACAGGATTGGCTTTGTATTAACATTTTCTTTGTAGTTTATATTGTGCTATCATATGTTTTCAGATGATGCTAAAATAGGAAGAATGGTTAAAATTTAGAAGGATGAAGTTGTTCACAGAATGATCTTGATCAATTGGGTAAATGGATTATGAAATGCAATATGTCTATGCCAAGTGTTGCAGTGGAGTAGAAGTAATAGCAAAGCTAAGCAAAGTTTAAAATAGCAGCAGATTAGTTGATGAGTATCAGGAGGGAGTTGACCTCTTTGATAAATCCGTCTCTGAATACCTGATCTAGTGTGTAGTAACAGTGAGCAGCTGTTAAGTCTTCTTTCGAGGGACATAGAGAGCCTAGGCATTAGTTCAAGTTTTGAAAAGTCTACTTTATTTAAAGTAAGGCATTAGCTAACTGGAACTGTGTTAGTTAGGCTGGGGGAAGAAGGGACTTGGACACAAGGAGAGATAGACCAGATGGGGCTTATTTATAGAATGTTAGGAAGTGAAAGAGTTCAAGTGCATAAATCTGCAGTCATTGGACAGATCAAAACTAAATGTTTAGGGGCAAGGGGCTACTTGCTAAGAAGAACTCAGTGTCATACTCTTTCAGCGTGGTGAATGAGGCAAAGAGATTTACAGAAAGGGTAAAATCAGTTTATCAAGTGAAGCCCCTTTTCTCTGTTCCTGTTGACTCTTTCCTTACGTTCATCTTCTCTATTGTCCCTCTTTTCTTAAACTCTTGCCTGAAAAGGGCTGATTTAATACTACAAATTTGCCACTTCTCAGTGTTCCCTTGAAGAATATAACATTAGTGCAGTAAGAGGAAGGCTCTTTGTGCTCTGTGCTGTGTAATTACTTATAGAACTTGTTATTAGCCAGCTTTATATTTAGGAATAGCTGGCAGATTTTTCTAAGGGTCAGGAGGGAGTTTTTCATGCCTTCAAGGAGCATGTGTGGTTTTATTGTGATGCTACACAATTAACATCAAAATGATGGAGGAGCTAAAATTCACCTTCTGGAAAATGAGGGTTGGACTGAGCCCATCTGAATTTAAAATGTGTATGTATGAACAAAAGTGCAAACACCTGAAATTCCAGATTCTAAACCCAAGTAAGTTTCTAGTCAGCAGATCCCAAGAAATCTTCCCCCAACATTTTTTTTATGTAATAAAAGCAAAAGAATCATTGTATGTTTGTGTGTGTGAGAGAGAGTTAATAAATCCATGATTAAGGAAATACGTGGTGCGTAGACTACTTTTCAGTAACAGAAAATGATAATACACTGTGACATGATGGTAGCAGAAGGCTGAGCATATGCACAAGTCTATTATTTTCCATTCTTTGATAATAATAAGCCTTCTGCAACCATCTTTAGTTTGTTTTCATCTTGAAATATCTCTGCTCTCCAACCAGCAGGTGAACACAGTAGAAAGTTTGGCAGTGTTACATTCAAATGTACAATACTGAATGCAAACTCATAAATCAAGGTGAATTTTATATGAAGGCAGATTTTAATGAAGGAAGTGCTAGCTGATACGAGCCTTGTTGGACATTTCAGCACAGCAATGCAGTAATGCAGATCAGATGTAAATATCATACATAATGGTGACCTATTGATCATTTAGCTGATGCTGACTTGCCTAGACAGTGATTTGCAGGAATGTTGTATTTTTGCTGGCTTCTTTTCCCTTCCTGTTTTGCTTTCTCAAGAATGCTGTGAGGTTTATTATTAGCTATTTTAGCTATGATGTCTTAAAAGATTTCATGCATATGCATTTACCAGCAGCATGTTGATTTTGATTTGTTATTCATAGATCGTAGGGGAGAGACCTTTTGGGTCACCTAATAAGCAGTTCATGTTTCATTAATTGGTTAAAGTTCATACAGCACTCTGACAATATTGAATACTGTGCAGAACAAGAGCATAATGAAATAAAAATTATCTGCTCTTCACATTTTGGCATGATGGGTTACAGAACCACCTACAACCTTCCCAGGACTGCCATGCCGATTAGTTAATAACTGGCTATCAAAGCAGAGAGGAGATCCTCTTTTTTAACATCTTGCTTTAGCTACTCAGTGACTTACTGATGTGAGTTACTTATTAGTGTCGTGCTGATGGAAAGCCAGATGATGCTGCAGGAGAAGCGGGAGGATGTACGGTCAAGGTTGAGCCCTTGTGAATTAGGAGCTCTTGGAACAGCTACGCATGGAGAAAGGATTTGGACTGAACTTCTTCCTATTGCTAAATCATCTGCCAATAAAGAGAGCCAACTTTTTATTCAACACGGGATTTGGACAGGCAAAGGCGTCTGCACATTGGTCCAAACCCAAAATCTGATGGCCTTTGGATGAGACCAGATGGGATTAGTGAGAGATGTAAGTTTGCAGGATGGTTATGATGATGATTCTGCAGATTTTTCTTCTCGATTGTGCTGGACAGACCTACTTCTGTCCTTCTTTCCTCAAACATTGCTTTAGTCATGAGTCACGCAGTTAAACTCTTTCTGTACTGATGCCTCAAATGAGCTAAGGCATCACCTGACCTGCCTAACCAGGTTGGAACTAGATGATCTTTGAGGTCCCTTCCAACCCTAACCATTCTATGCTTCTATGATTCTATGATATGGCAATGAAAGAGGGAAACTAAATATTTGATGTATGACCTGAAACTCCAAGTTTCTAGGAGGACACCAGAACAATGCACATTAACTTGAGTAGGACTTCGAGTCCTGCACTTGCCGAAAATGATACATTAAATATAAATGCAGCTACCAGAAAATGGGGGGAATATTCAGTAGATCGCTTGAGACTCTGTATAATTTAGCAGCTACAATGAATATTTTTTAATAAAGCAAGAATAATGCTGTTGAGAATCAAATACCAGTGCAGAGTAGACACCCCCTGTGAAAGACTCTGAATACTGTGATCCACACTTCATTACTAACCCCGAATAATTCATGACAATAAAATACCAACATGGAGGGTTATGAAACAAGAACCAATTCTGCCTTTGGAAG